ATTTCTGTCGATCTCTCCCTTTATGTCCATTAGGCTTGGCTTTACATGTTTAGGTGCTCATGAACAGACACACACACATAAACAGACACACGAGCATGAAGGAAATGAAGAATAAACTCTATAAACTCTTTCCTTGATTCCTCTTTTCCACTGATGTTCATGCTTTTTCTAGGACCTATAGGAAGACTTGTAATTAATCTCCTTAATTTATACTTAATCTTTCAGAATACAGACTGGGTAATATACTTTGGAAATCATAAAATAAACTGTTCTATTTTAGATGTGTAGTCTTGCTTTCTTTAAAAAAGAAAAAGAATCCCTCAAAACCCTCCTAAAATAGAGACTACACTGTACTTGAACTGTTTGAATAATATAATCATTTCCAGAAGAGGTTATTGTTTCAATACAATTACATATTCAATATGGAATACAATATGAAATTTAATACCAAATGAAATTCTCTTAATTTCTCTTATAAAGCAAAGAAATAAAATTGGTAACTGTTCTAATTCTCTGGTGGGTAATTTTGATTTTGGTATATCTTATTTAAGTACCTATAGACATAAAATAAATACAAAGATAAAGGAATTACAGGATAAATTGCTCCCTTTGTTGCTTCTTGATGCTAAGGAAAATCTACTTAAATAGAGGCTAAACATATTAGGCTAAATATTGTAAAATTCAAAATCCCCTTTACCAAGTTACTTAATTTCTTTGAAATATTCATGGAGAAAGAAAATACATTTAAAATTTTAAACAAGGTAATTAATTTAGACTTTAATTTACAATCTCATAAATTACTATGGAATTTATAATGTATGTCGAACATGGTAACTTGAAATGGAACTGATACTATAGGGTTTCCAGGGCTGGGCCTTAAGAGACATACAGCTGCTACCCACCCTACCCATGAAATATGCAGCTTCCACATCAGCAGCCCTTTCAGCCCGAGGCCACCACACTGTAAGAAAGCCCAGGGGAGCCATGTGGAGGAGCACAGAGGCACCAGACCCTCTCACAAGTCCTCTGCTGGGCATTTCAACCTCATCCAGCCGACAGCTGAAAAACCACTGAGCGTCTGAACTGACACAATGTGGAACAGAAGAACTACTCTACTGGGGCCTGCCTGAATCCCTGACCCAAAAGATCATGCACTATAAAACAATGATTATTGTTTGAAGCCACTAAGTTTTCAGGTACTTTGTTATGCAGCAACTACTAACCAAATCAGTGGGTCTGGGGTATGACCTGAGAAATCTGCAATTCAGGCAAGTTCCCAGGTGATGGGGAGGTGCTGGTCTGAGCCCTCACTCTGCAAAGACCCACAGTAAGTCATAACTTAACAAAAAAAGTTCTTTAATGCTTTTCTAGTTCTGGTCAGTTAGCTTAGCATTATAAGATAAAAATTCTTGAAAACAATACCTACACATGAAAGATAAATGAAATGCTAACACTTTTTGAATATTTTTATTTCAACATTAAAGGGAAGGAACCCCACAGATTATAAAATATATCAATAAGTATAAAATTATTTCTGACAGAAGCTTAATCATTGTACATTGTATTGAACATATTAAGGTCACAGAATAAGCAGTCAGGAGGAATACTGTATTCTCATTTACTGACATTTCAAGGCGCTGTTTCCTGGTAACCATTTAACAACAATAAAGAATAACTGCTGTTATTTTAAAATTTGGATAAGACTAATTATCCCTTTGAAAAATGAAGCTAAATAAAGCTCTAAGAATTAAAGTGCTCAAAAGTAAAGCATTACTTAAATTTTCCTTTTGAAGTATAATAATAATTACATTTGGACCTCAATTAGCCAAATATTAGGAAAGCATGGAAGATAATACTTTTGTTCAGCTGAGCGTTAATTAGGAATAATCAGGAAATGGTGAGAAGTTGTTTTTTGGGTTTTCTTAAGGCAGCATAAGAAGAAATAATATCTGTGGCAGAAGGACCACCTGTTGGGAACATGGCACTTGTCCTCGCCAAACAGGCAAGTCTCATTGCGGATGTCCCAGGATGCTGAATGAGCCCAACCCGAATCTTGTTCAGTGCTGCTGTTCTGCTGTCTGTTTGTTAGTTTCTAGAACACCGACGATTGTTACTTGGTAATGGAAGTCCAAACTGAAATAGGCTTTAATTTTTAATGGCTGTTTTGCTTCAGCCTCTTAGGAAGAAATAGAATGGAGGGCAGAAGATAAGAAGTAAGAGTTGTAGTTCCAAAAGTTAACAATCAGCTGATAAAAGAAGTTTTCTGCATACCTATCAGGATGATTATTATTTAAAAAAAAACAAAAACAGAAAATAACAAGTGTTGGCGAGATTGTGGATAAATTGGAGCCTTGTGCAATTTACATTCCCTGTTGGTGGGGATGTAAAATCTGCTGCTGTAGAAAATAATACGGTGGTTTCTCAAAAAATAAAAACAAAATCATAGAATTACCATACTATTCTGCAATTCCACTTCTGGGCAGTTACCCAAAAGAACCGAAAAGCTGGGACTCCAGCAGAGATTTGTGCACCTGTGTTTGCAGCAGCACTGTCCACCACAGACAAAGGGTGGAAGCAACCCAGACGCCCACAGATGGGGGATGGGTAAGCAAAGTGTGGAAATACACACAGTAGAATATTATTCAGCCTTCAAAAGGAAGAAAATCTGACGTGCTAACATGAATGAAGCTTGAGGACATTGTGTTAAATGAAATAACAAGTAATGAAAGGACAAATGCTGTATCACTTCATTGATGTGAGTTACCTAGTCAAATTCAATGAGACAGGAAGTAGAATGGTGGTTGTCAAGGGCTGGTGGGAGGAAAAATGGGGAGTCTTTATTTAATGGGGGCAAAGTTTTAGTCTAGGAAGATGAAAGAGTTCTACGGATGGATGGTAGCAATGGTTGGACAACAATGTGCCACTGAGCTGTACACTTAAAAACAGTGAAAATGGTAAAAAGAAAAGAAAGAACTAATGAATAGTCTTGGAGAAAAATACTGTTCTTGATTCTAGAACAAGCAGTTACATGCCTCAGCCCTTCGTTTCTATCCTTTGACAAGCAATTGATGAAAACTTAACACTCAAAGGCACATGGAAGGAAGGGTCCTGAAAAGGTGGTGCAAGAGGCAGTTTAGTTTTTAGATTTTTCTGAATCTTCACGTAAAAACAAATAACACAACTAGAGAGCAAGTCCAAAAGTCAAAGGCAACAGTAACAATAAAAGCAGGTGGGAAAGCATCATCATGAACTGAAAATATGGGTAGGAGAGGATGGATCACCAGCAGCCACAAGACCTATGTAAATGGGGGGGGGGGAGTGGGGCACGGCATCTCAGATGGGTATGACCACGGGGCACCTTGGGGTGGCCAGCAGGCATTCACTGCAAAGCCTGGCCAGGATGAAGTGAGGACAGGTGCATCGGGCCATCACTGTGACCAATGGGAGGAGGGTTCGGGGACCTGCCACCAGGGCTGTAGGGGCTGAGGCACCCTGCATCCCATGAACCAGAACTGACCTACCAAGGCACCTCTAGACAGGGTGGCACTAATAGAGAGGCGGCTGGGAGTGCACAGGTTACACAGGGGAGAACAGCAGACAAGAAAAGAGATAAAAGCAGGTGAGAGGGATAGAGCCAGAAAACCTTAGAAAGCAAACTTCCTTTTATTGTACACAATACACACACGCATATATACATGTATACATGCATGAAGACACAAACACATACAGGCTCACAGGCACACGACACACACATACAGCACTGTGTGCACATATATGTGTGCACACACATGTCCCAGAGGAGGGAGCTCTGTGAAGTGAGAATGCTGCCCTGAACCATCCTCCTCCTGAAAGCCCAGGAAAGTGAATTCACATGAATGGGAGCAAGAGAAAAGCACTGAAGTCAAATCTCTTGTAACTCCATCCGAAGAAAAAAAGATCCTACGTCATCCCCAGAAAATGAATGCATGCCAGGAAACATGCCAGTACAGATAAAAATTGTGACCTCCCATTTCAAAACATGCTAAAAGCCATAAGAAATGATACAAAACATGAAAGAACATGTATCATAATTAGAAAAACTCAGAAACGAGGGGACAAAACTCAAGAATAAGAAATACTAAAAAAAATCATTTCAGAAATACGTAAACTAAAAGAAATGCAAGAGTGAATAAACTCAACAGACACTGGCATAAGAGAAAGAGAGGTGAAAAAAGGGGACAGTTTTTAATCTAAAACAAAGTAGACTTGAAAAGGGTTTGAGAGGAAGCAACCGCTGGGCTCAACTGTCACGCCCAAGTATCAGAGCTAATACATTTTATACATTTTTCTTAGTCTTCCCACCATAATTAAAACAAAACACTTCTTACACTGTTAAATAAACCAGGGGTTGGCAAATGAAGAACTGCTAACTCAAGATGGAAGTTACCACGGCACAGCCTAGGACAAGGCTAAGCTTTCGGCACTTCCTGTGTTTCCCACGCATCCATACCCCTCTGGTGGGGAGTGCCCCTCCCTCAGACAGGTTCCCTGCACACCTTGGATGCCGACCTGCTTCAGTGGCAGCGACTAAGTCCTTGCTGTGCTGGAAATGACGGTTAAGATATGCTTCCTCCTACCCTTTGTGACAACATGGATGGAACTGGAGAGCATTATGTTAAGTGAAATAAGCCAGGCGGTGAAAGACAAATACTGTATGATCTCACTTTTAACAGGAACCTAAACAACAAAACAAATAAGCAAAATATAACCAAAGACACTGAAATAGAGAACAGGCTGACAGTGACTAGAGGGGAGAGGGGAGGGAATTTCAGGAAAAAAGGGGAAGGGTTTGCAGGAACAAGTATAAAGGACACATGGACAAGAACTACGGGAGGTGGAAATGGGAGGGAGGTGGGGAGCACTGGGGGGTGGGCTGGGATGGGAGTAAAAGACAGAAAACTGTACTTGAACAACAATTAAAATAAAATTAACAAAATAAATAAATAAAAATAAAGTCCTTTTCCTTCACAAACTAGAAAAAAAAGGCATGCTTCCTCCAGGCACTGATAAGATTCCTAAAGAGGACTCATCTTTGCAGGTGAAAAGAACGGAGCTACAATAGATCAGATTCAAAAAATAAAGCTGAGATTGAAGGTGTCATCAGGTAGCTGGGCCTACGGAGTGCAAAGGAAGTTATTTTTAGGTGGGGGCAAAGCAGGGAAGTCAGGAGCTGAACTTGGCACCTGGTCTCCTGATTATCCATTTTGTCACTGTGACAACAAAGTTCATAGGCTGATGTCTTCATAATAGCACCACATACGAGGCAAGACAATGCTCTTAACAACTCACTGCTATTGTTACTCTGACCATAGTCACACCATCTTCTAACTAGACTGACACTCGAGCCTTGAAATCTGGCTTATCACTGGGCCTGACCACCAGGTAACACATGCTAGTCAGGACGCCCTGCAGCTCACCCACCAGGTGACACGTCCTCAGTCAGGACACGCTGCAGCAGCTCTCAGAGAGTAAGGAAGCCTTTTCTGGCTCCGTGCAGGAGTGGTGCCGCCCATCACTTCTCTCTGGCTCCAACTCTGATATAACCGGATGAAGCAACATGCAGGAGGAGATCACTGTGCTTTTTTGACAATGTTTGTTGCTCTAAAAACTGAGATGAAGTCATTCGTGCTAAAACAGAACTGCGAACATTTTAAGAGTTTTAAAATTGTAATATATTTTGCTCATTTAATATATATGCGCGGTATAAAACAAGTAAATTAAAATCAAATCATATAAAATACAAGATGTGGGTAGAATAGGAAATAGCCTGGCACAGAGACTACTTAAAGGTGAATCCTGGAGTGATCCGAGAATGTGAGGGGACAGGTGGCATATGGGCCAAACTCAGAGGAGAAAGCCCTCGCAGGCAGGCAGTGCCCAAGCAAGCAGTGGCCAGAGGGGATGGATGCACCAAGACAGACCTGAGCCTACTTTGACCATCTAAGCTCTCCCCACAGGGACAGTGGGACAGTGGGACTGGCGCTGTGCCACGGTCTTCCTGCATCCGCAGACTTCCACCATACCCAGGCCTTGGTTTCCACTCCCCACACGCCAGGCAGCCCAGGAGGAGGTGTGAACACACGGGACGGTGAGTGAGGGCTCCAAACCCTGCGGTCACAGCCCGTGCTCCTTCCTCCAACATGGCCTTTTGTGCCTTTGCCTCGGTTTCCCTGTTTGTAAAGTGGGGGTAAGGCCATGTGTGAACCAGACAAAGGCACCAGGTGGCCACATCACATGTGCTTCACAAAGGCTGGTTTCCACCTTTCTTTCCAGTAACAAGGTAGATGATAAAAGCCGCCACCTACAAACAGAAACCACACTGACTGCCAGGACTGCATTTGGACATCTGAATGGCAGCAAAGACACAGAGGGAGACCTGTGTGTCCAGGGCCAAGACAGCACTGCTGGGGTGACCACTATCATTCCACGCCAGTTTTAAACTCACTATATGGGTTGTTTCTTTTCAAAATGTGCCAAGTATTTGAATATTCCCAAGAGCACAGGAACACAAGTCCAACTCTTCACTCTACATTAATACAGATGGAATTATCTGGAATTCTAATTTAACCAGGTCCTTGCTACCAATGCCTCAGAGCCTTGCCTCTTTGCAGTCCTTCCGGAAGCATCTGGCAAGCTCTTCTCTAGGTGACACCCTGCCGAGCCACAGAGAAGCCAGGGGCAAATCAGGGCTTGGGCCTGCAGTGGCCCCTCGGCCACCTTATCTCAGTCGGTTGATGACGTGTTGGTCTCTGTGACGGGGTGAGACCAGACGATACACAGCTTCTGCTTCTTCTCACTGCGCATGCTCAGCCGTCACCCCGCTGCTGCTGTGGACACCCCTTTCCTCTCACTCTGTGCACTTGGTTACAAAACGGATCCTTCACTGGCATCAGGCCAAACAGGAAATCAATCCTTTTCTTCACAAATGTGTCAGAACCATCTCTTCCACGGGTCCCACAAATGCCTTCCATGACATCGGCTCTCTGACCGGTGACAAAGGGGGAATGTGCACAGTCCTGTGATGTTGGAACCACCTTGCTGCTGCACCTTTACGCCACGGACGGCCTCTGTTTGCTCACCCGCTTCCTTGATTAGGGAAAACCTCGCTCCTATTTTCCTAGTGAATTCTCCCATGTCCACCTTCCGAAGTGTTAAAAGCAGATCCATTCAAGTAAGTTCCTGAACAGGTCCCTTGTGGTAGAGGCCTTTTTCCGCTCCTGAGGTGGCAGGTGCACGACCTGTGAGGTGGCATTCAGGGCGAGGAACCCATTCGCACGGTGGACCAGCCCCGAGAGGGGGACTCTGATGAGAGACTCATCACAGTGCAATGCAGCAACAGACAGAGTGAACGGCCCACAACGTTGGAGAAAAACACAGAAAAAGAAGAAAACAACCCCTGCCATGGAAGTAGGAGACAGTGCTTAGGAAAAGACGGCTATCTGCCATCCCAAACCGAGGCAGAGGTGCCTGCTGCCCACGGCCCTGACGTAGGGACAGAAGCGCCTGCTGCCCACGGCCCTGACGTAGGGACAGAAGCGCCTGCTGCCCACGGCCCTGACGTAGGGACAGAGCGCCTGCTGTCTCGATCTGTACCTGCCTTTCACCTGTTGCTGGGAGAGAGAAAGACAGGGGGATGAGAATGTCCCCTGCAGACACACACCTGCAAACATGCAGGAGTGAAATCCGGGTCTGAATCCAGATGCTTGCTGTGGATTTTCCATCTGTGAATTTTCAAGCCCCTTTCAGGTTTCCTACCTAATTTTTGTCATCTTATAATATTGCTTTTATTTATAAGAACTTTTCTTCAAAATGTACTTTCTAATATACCCATTTAATCCCTATAAAAAAGACTGTGTAAGCCCTCCTCCAAACTTGTAAGAGATTTTAACGCACTAAGCGTAAATAAATCTCTTATATTAGGCAAGAAAATGTAGGTCAAAACTAATTTATTTTTACAAAGAGATAAGACAAAAATAAACTATATAGTACTCCGGGGCAAAACAAATGAAATAAGCAAAATAAAACCCTCATATCAACCAAAAATTCAAACTAAAATCTTAAGGTAAAAGTTTTCCGAACGTACCACACACAGTAATACATCAGCCACATTACGACAAAATCAGAACTGTGACGGCAGCTCAGGCTCGCACCGGAGGCCCCGCGGGCTCAGATCCCGACAACCACAGTAACGCAGGCGTCCCAATGAAATGAGTCGCACAAGTGTTTGGTTCTCCAGTGCATGTAAAATTTATGTTCACACTACACTAGAGTCTATTAAGTGTGCAAAAGCACTACGTCTAAAAAAACAATATACGTACTTTAAAAATGCTAACTATCAGCTGAGCCTCCCGCGAGTTGCACTCTTTTTGCTGGTGGAGGGTCTTGCCTCGGTGCTGATGAAAACACAGTATCTGTGAAGCACAATAAATGAGGTATGCCTGTACTAAAGCAACCCAACAACGCACACCAGAACTGGTTTCCGGTAAGTTAACTTTAAACCTCCTGATCGGGACAAGACTAATGCCACCTGGTAATCTTAGCAACACCGTCCGCGGGATCACACACCCAGCCGGGACAAGCACGCCGGCTGCCAACATTAACTGTTGACCTCTCTAATGCATTAGTCAATTAGATGTCAATATCAGAGCACAGAGAACATGTGCAAATTCATTCACATTTTAAAATATAGACATTTAAACCCAAATCTGAGAGTGGTACTGGTTGAGGTGTTCAAGCACATGGCCCTGTGAACCGTCACACCTGCACACCAGCCACTCAGCAGACGGGAAACGGGGCACAGGGAGGGGTCACAACAGTGGGCAGGACCGAGGGCTCGATGGCCATGCCCACTCACAGTGTCGTAAGACGCGGCTCCTTGCAAGTTTGGATTCCATACTCACCTAAACCTTTTTGCCCAGGGTTCTTAGCAAAGGTGAAAGTAAACTGATAGAAATCCTTAAACTTCGTTGTGTCCTTAAGCTCTTGTTCCAGCCTTGGCAGAAGCGCTTTCAGCTTATCTGTGCTGTCACACCTGTGACGAGAGACAGAGACAGTGCTTTGTCACAGGCAGCAGCTGGGCCTGCTGGGTCCCCAGCAGTTCGCAGCGCCACTGCAATTCGGTGCGGCCCGAGGCTTGGGTCTATGGGGGTGGGTCGGTGGAATTCTCATGGCCCCTTTTTCTAGCTAAAAAGCCTCAAAATGCTCTAAAACTGGCCGGGGTGATGGCTGCACAGCTCTGTGAAGACACCAAAACCACTAATTTTACACTGTAAATGGGTGAATTGTGTGGCATGTGCATAATATCTTAATAAAACTGTCATTAAAAGAAGAAAAATCAAAACCCAAAATTGTTTGCCCTCCTCTGTGCGGTCTGGAATATGAACATGGTTTAACTCTGTGGCTTCAATAGCACAGAGGCCAATGACGTGAGGTGACAGAGTGAGAAGACCCTACTGCCTTGGTGAATTCATGGAACTGTGTTACTCTGCCAGCCGAACCACTGCTACCCCTGAACTATGCTGCGGTGCAAAATGAACCTGTGGCCTTAAGCTACTGTATCCAGGGGTTTCTTCATTACAGAGGGTTAGATGTAAAACATCGAAGTATAATAAAATATAACTATATCATTTTTAAATTGAATTGTCCTTCAAAGTCAATAACACTTAAAAATATCAAAAAGCCTCTGAAGCAGAATGTAGCTCTGGCTGGTGTGGTTCAGTGGACTGAGTGCCAGCCTTCCAACTGAAAGGTCACCGGTCTGATTCCCAGTCAGGGCACATGTCCGGGCTGCCAGCCAGGTCTCCAGTTGGGGCTGTGCAGGAGGTAACCCATCGACGCATCTCTCACACATCAATGTTTCTCTCCCTCTCCTTCTCCAACCTGTACCCTCTCTCTAAAATTAATGAACTAAAATCTTTTTTTAAAAAAGCAGAATCTAGAAGAGTAAAACAAAATTTGTTGTTTTTATTTTGACTACACAGCAAGGAAGCGAACAAAAGCAACACCTCATTTATCCAGGCATCGAGGTAGAGCAGGGCTGAGGAAAGGCAATGGACAAAGTCCTGGAGCGGCCAGAACCAACCGCAGACCAACAAGTCCATGAACATACCGAGAAGTACCAACACCCAACTTCCGGGGCTATCATGCGAGCTCCCGAGTGCAGCCCACCCATGCCAACAGCTGGCAGGCAGCAGGCCCTGGGGAGTGGCCACACGCCCGGCCCCATCACGACCTCCTTCCTCCATGCAGTCTTCTGACACCCTTGGTCTTCTTCATGCCTCCTCACTCCAAAAGGCCCTAGTTGACAGCGAGTTAGTTACTCCTATTTCTGAAGTTTAAAAAAATTTAAAGATGTTATTTATTTCTTTTTAGATAGAGGGGAAAGAAAGGAGAAAGAGGGAGAGAGACATCAATGTGTGGTTGCCTCTTGTGTGCCCACTGCTGGAGACCTGGCCTACAACCCAGGCATGTGCCCTGATGGGAAATTGAACCAGTGACCCTTTGGTTTCCAAGCTGGTGCTCAATCCACTGAGCCACACCAGCCAGGGCTCTTTCTGAACTTTTTAAATGGGAACTTAGGATATGTATTATTAGTGTCTGGCTTTCTGTGCCAACATTAAATCTGGGAGGTTCATTTATGTTGATATGTGTGGCTGTGGTTGGTTCATTTTCATTGCCGTATAGCATTCCATTCTGGTCATCTTTTATAATTTATATAATCTACTGATGAGAAGTATTTTGGTTGTTCCTAGTTTTCTGGCTACGAAGAATGACGTTAAAAAATGTTTCTGTACATGTATCCTGGCATACACATGTATATGTTATGTTAGGCACACCCAAGAGTAGAATAGCTGGATAACAGGGGCTGAGCACCTTCAGTTTAGTAAGTAGCATCAAACGGTCTTCCAATGTGATTGTCCCACTTCACATCCCACTAGACTAGGAGTCTAGTGGACTCCCAGCAGTACACTAGATTTCTTATTGACTCACATTTTCACCTGCATTTGTGACTGTGTCTTATTTAGCCATTCCAAAGAGTGGGTTGTGAGCTTCTATTTCATTGTAGTTTTAATTTGCACTTCCCTAAAGAATGAGATTAAGCATATTTACTTTCACTAGCCATTAAGAAATTCTCTTTTGTGAAGTGCCTGTTCAAGTCTCTTGCCCATTTTTGATTAGGCTATCTTTTTCTTATTGTTTTATAAAAAATTTAAATATTAAAAAATATTTTATTGATTATGCTATTACACTTGTCCCATTTCCCCCCTTTATTCCCCTCCACCCTGTATACCCCCTCATACCCGCATTCCCTACATGAACCTTTAGTTCATGTCCATTGTTGTACGTGTAAGTTCTTTGGCTTCTACATTTCCTATACGATTCCTAACCTCCCCCTGTCTATTTTCTACCTACCATTTATGCTACTTATTCTCTGTACCTTTTCCTTCTCTCTCCCCCTCCCACTCCACTGCTGATAACCCTCCATGTGATCTCCATTTCTGGGATTCTGTTCCTGTTCTAGTTGTTTGCTTAGGTTTTTTTTTTGGTTCAATTGTTAATAGCTGTGAGTTTGTTGTCATTTTAATGTTCATTTTTTATCTTCTTTTTCTGAGATAAATCCCTTTAATATTTCATATAATAAAGGCTTAGAGATGATTAACTTCTTTAATTGGACCTTATCTGGGAAGCATTTTATCTGCCCTTCCATTCTAAAGGAGAGCTTTGCTGGATAGAGTCATCTTGGATGTAGGCCCTTGCCTTTCATGACTTGGAATATTTTTTTCCAGCCCCTTCTTGCCTGCAAGGTCTCTTTTAAGAAATCAGCTGATAGTCTTATGGGAACTCCTTTGTAGGTAACTGTCTTCTTTTCTCTTGCTGCTTTTAAGATTCTGTCCTTATTTTTAATCTTGGCAAAATTATGATGTGCCTTGGTGTGTTCTTCCTCGGGTCCAACTTCTTTGGGACTCTGTGAGCTTCCTAGACTTCCTAAAGGTCTAGTCTATTTCCTTTGCCAGATTGGAGAAGTTCTCCTTCATTATTTGTTCAAATAAGTTTTCAATTTCTTGGTCTTGCTCTTCTCCTTCCGTCACCCCTATGATTTGGATGTTGGAATGTTTAAAGATGTCCCAGAGGTTCCCAAGTCTCTCCTCATTTCTGTGAATTGTTTCTTCATTTTATTCTGATTGGATGTTTATTTCTTCCTTCTGCTCCAAACCATTGATTTGAGTCCTGGTTTCCTTCCTGTCACTGTTGGTTCCCTATAGATTTTTCTTTATTTCACATAACGAGACCTTCATTGCTACCTGGGTCTTTTTTATGCTGTTGAAGTACCTAGTGAGTTATTATCCTGATAACCAGTGTTTTGAACTGTGCATCTGATAGGTTAGCTATCTCTTTGTTGATTAGTTGTATTTTTTCTGGAGCTTTGATCTCTTCTTTCATTTGGGCCTTATTTATTTATTTATTTTTGTCTCAGTGTGCCTATTACATAGTAAGGGGTGGAGCCTTAGGTGTTTACCAGGGTGGGGCAACCCAGTCTCTGGGTTGTGATGCTATATGTGGGGGAGGGGTCTGAGAGGGAACACAGCTCTTGCTCCACTCTCTGCTGGCTTTCAGTCACTTCCATGGTTTCCCACAAGCAAACTGGGCCCTTCTGCTGCTGATTCCCATGTGGGTGGGTCTGTGTACATTCTAGGACCCTGTGGAGCTCTCCAACAAACTCTCCTATGGAGCTGAGAGTTTTTCCTGCTGCCACCTCAACCCCAACAGGTGTTTTCAATCAGAGGTTTGAGGCTTTATTTCCCTGCGCTGGGACCCTGGGTTGTGAGGTCTGTCTCACTCCCCAGATGTTCCTCCCGGTTTATCTGCACTTGAATGTGGAGTCACCTGCTCCACCAGCTGCCACCTCGCCCTGGTCCACCAGCTGCTGCCTTGCTGTGCCTCCTTTCTGCTTTGCTGCCGATTCTGCCCCTCCTACTGGTCTGGATGAATGTTTCTTCTTTAACTCCGTGGTTGTTGGACTACCACACAGTTCAATTTTCTATCAGTTCTGGCTGTCTTTAAATTTGTTGTCCTTGTTTCGTTTGTGTGAGGAGACACAATGTACCTCCTACCTACACCTCCATCTTGGGTGGAAATGAAAATTTTTATGTCTCAAGGATATATGCCTTTGTCATTTAAGTATTTTTAAAGTGCTTCAGAATATGAGCTGCCTTTTCCCTTCCTTGATGGTGTTTCTTAATGACCTGTAATTTTTTAGCACAGTACACTCTATCAATTTTCTTTTTTTTAAAAAAATGTATTTTATTGATTATGCCATTACAGTTGTTCTGTTTCCCCCCTTCATTCTCCTCCACCCTGCACACCCCCTCCCCCACCATTCCCCCCTTTAGTTTATGACCACGTGTCTCAAGTTCTTTAGGTTCTATATTTCCCCTACCATTCTTGCGCTCCCCCCCTATCTATTTTCTACCTACTGTCTATGCTACTTATTTTCTGTACCTTCTCCCCACTTCTCCTTCTCCCACTCCCCTGTTGCTAACCCTCCATGTGATCTTCATTTCTATGGTTCTGCTCCTGATCTAGCTGTCTTCTTAGTTTGCTTTTGTTTTAGGCGTGGTTGTTAATAATCGTGAGTTTGCTGTCCTTTCACTGTTTATATTTTTTACCTTCTTTTTCTTAGGTAAGTCCCTTTAACATTTCATATAATAAGGGCTTGGTGATGATGAACTTCTTGAACTTGACCTTATCTGAGAAGCACTTTATCTGCCCTTTCATTCTAAATGAAAGCTTTGCTGGGTAGAGCAATCTTGGATGTAGGTCTTTGGATTTCATGACTTGGAATACCTCTTTCCAGCCCCTTCTTGCCTGGAAGGTCTCTTTTGAGAAATCAGCTGACAGTCTGATGGGAACTCCTTTGTAGGTGACTGTCCCCTTAGCTCTTGCTGCTTCTAGGATTCTCTCCTTCATTTTAATCTTGGCTGATGTAATTATGATGTGCCTTGGTGTGTTCCTCCTTAGGTCCACCTTCTTTGGGACTCTCTGAGCTTCCTGGATTTCCTGGAAGTCTATTTCCTTTGCCAGATTGGGGAAGTTCTCCTTTATTATTTGTTCAAATAAGTTTTCCACTTGCTCTTTCTCTTCCCCTTCTGGTAGCCCTATAATTTGGATGTTGGAGCGTGTAAAGATGTCCTGGAGGTTCCTAAGCCTCTCCTCATTTTTTTGAATTCTTGTTTCTTCATATTTTTCTGTTTGGTCATTTTTTTTCTTCCTTCTGGTCCACTCCATTGATTTGAGTCCCAGTTTCCTTTCCATTAGTATTGGTTTCCTGTGCATTTCCCTTCATTTCAATTAGTTTAGCCTTCATTTGTTCCTCTAATTTGTGACTAAAATCAACCAGTTCTGTGAGCATCCTGATCACCAGTGTTTTGAACTGTGCATCTGATAGGTTGGCTATTTCTTGGTCACTTAGAGTTATAGGCTGTGGGGCTTTGAGTTCTTCTTGAGCCATGTTTTGGTCTGTTTGCACCTGTTACGTATGAGGGGCAGAGCCCTAGGTGTTCACCAGGGCAGGGCAACTCAGTTGCTGGGTTGTGATACTGTATGTGGGGCAGGGTCAAAGAACGGCCATATTGGTCCCCTCTGCTGCTTCCTGCCGCTGGGGTCTGCACGGTCTGTCTCACTGCTCACTCTGTCTCACTGCTCACTCCTTCGTTGGTTTATCTGCTCGCGATTGTGTGCCCGCGGTCAGCCTGCTGCCTTGCACCCTCACTGGGCCCACCCATTACTACCCCACACCTGGGATCTGCCAACGGCTGCCTGTGCTCCTGGGTTGGGGGATCTTTCCTGCCCTACCTCGCTCTGCTGCTGGCTCCACCCCTCTTACCGGTCTGGCTAAATGGTTCATAGTTGTCGGACTTCTGCGTAGTTCAATTCTCCGTGTTTTGGCTGCGTCTTTGTTACTAAAACTTTGTTGACTTTAAACTTGGTTGTGTGAGAAGGAACAGTGTTTCCACCTATGCCTCCATCTTGGCAGAAGTCTCTCTATCAATCTTCTTCATAGTGTTTTCTTGGTGATATTTTACAACCTTCCCTACTGTATGATCATAAAGATATTCTCCTACATTATTTTCTAGAGGCTTCTACCTTTAGCCTTTCACAAGCAGCTCTACAATCCACTTGGAACCAATTGGTATGTATGGCATGAGACAGGCGTCAAGATGAAATTTTTTCTGTATGTCATTCTTCCAGGATCATTTACTGAAAAGATGTCCTTCCTCCACTTTCCTAAAGTGCTGCCTTTGCCATAAATCAAATGTACCCGTATACGTGGGTTTGTTTCCAGAGCCTCCATTCTGTTCCTCTGGTCTATTTACCTATTCTGATACTAAATATAGTTTTAGTTACTATACTTTGAAAAGTCCTGATTACCCAGTAGAACAAATCTTCTCACCTCATTCTTTTTTTTTTTAAGAATTATTGGTTATTTTGACTGTGCATATTCATATAAATTTAAAATCAGCTTGTCAAATTACACACACATAAACCTACTACTTATTAGGATTTTGGTTGAGATCAGATAAAATGTACAGAATAATTTGGGATCAAACACCAAGTACTCCAACCTAAAAATGAAGTCTGTTCCTCCAGCCAGGTTTCCAGTGAGTTGCTTTCTCTATGAAGGTGGCACACATATTTAATTACGTTTATCCTAGGTGTTTTGTATTTTTGATGCTACTTGAAATGACATATGTTTAAAATTCACTTTGTTTTGTTGCACTCAGTGTTTTGAAATAACATCGCCTTTTGTTTGCTGGCCTTGTGTCCTGCAGTCTGGTTAAACTCAGAGCATGAGGACAAAGAAACCCATGGATCACAACACAGAACCCAGAAATAGAGCGACACATCCAGTCATTTTTTGTTTCTACAAATATGTCAAAGTATTTCATAAAGTTTACTCAGTCTACCTAAGAATCCTCAAGCCCACAGTGAAAGTATGTAAGATAACTGTTAAAAGCAGGTACACTAGCCAAAGTCAACTATTAGCAGCCAGGAAAAAAGCATAAAAAAATAATAAATAGAGTAGACACAAAAGCCAAAGTATATTTTAAAGCTTAGTGCTTTTAGACTAGAAGGCAACAGTCCTTTGCATCCCTAAAAGCACAGAGGTTGTCTTAATAATATACTTTACCAATACATGAATAATACTTTCACTTAGTACGTAGCACTTTAATATTTACAAAATGCTTTAAACTTTTACTGCCCTGTGAGATGTGGAGAGCCTTACCATTAACAATCATTAACTTAATCTTCAATCACATTGTGTGTCCTCCATATGAAAGGGCATGAAAGTAGCTAACACATTTCACAGAGTCACACTCAAAATCTTTAAAGTATGGTTTTTAAGTTATGACACTTAACACGGTAATAGTCAGGGATTTTAGAATTTTACTTGTACAACATATTCGAAGGCAGTGCCTTAGAAAGGCCAGTCAGTGTTTCTAGAAGAAGCACTTATTTCCAAGTCTCTCATTTTGGGGAGATTTTAACAGATCAGGTAGTATTTAGTGTCATGCACATGGAATACTCCTTTTAATGGGTTGTTTTCTATTCTGAAACTGCTGGGGTTTCCTAGTACAGAGAACATGAAATATGCTAGTACACCGCTGTCATAATGTTCTCTTGTTTAGCTGGTTTTATAAAACCACAGGAATATGGTGAGATAGCACTAGAAATGGAAGTCTTGTAGAGTTTATCCTCATCAGGGGTGTCCAACCTGTGGCCCGGGGTGGCTATGAATGTGGCCCAATGCAAAATCGTAAACTTATTTAAAACATTATGAAATGTTTTTGTGGTTATGTGTTGCAATGTATTTAATGTGTGGCCCAACATAACTCTTCTCCTTCCAGTGTGGCCCAGAGACACCAAAAGGTTGGACACCCCTCCCACAAGGCAGACAGATATAGCAGATTCATCAGTTTAATGGAAACAACAAATGCTCTGTTCCGTGTCCCTCTCCCCCCGAATACTGTAAGCACATGCCTTAAGAACACGTTTACCTTAGGCTTAAGCACTAAGGAAAGCTAGTTTAAGGCGTCAACACTGAAATCTCAGACCATCAACAAGTCAAGCAACTTGGCTTTTATACAACCTCATGAAATAGTTCAATAAGCTCAATGATTAAAAGACATTGATGTTATATGCTTTCGTTTACTTCTTTCACTTATCTGACAAATGAGACACATCTTAAGTTATTAATGAAGCTTTTAACCCAACCCTGTAGGTAGAACAGAGAAATATTACAGGCAAAAATGAAAATGATGTTTTATTAGTTTAATGTAGCAACACACTAAATGACACATTTAGTGTACAGTGTTATGAAACAAACTAAATACCTGAAGATAAACAAAAACACCCAGATGTTTATTGTCAATTTAAAATGGAAAAAGCATTTAGAGAATAAGGTACATAAGGGATTAATCATCTGAATAAAATTATTAAATAAAACTTAAATAGGAATTAACGGAAATCAAAGGGTTAATATAGTACAGATGCATTATTTAAAAACTTATAAGATACACAAAGAAAATAAATTGACATAAGATTAATATTTACAGACTGAAAACGAATTAACGTTCAGGGTATCTTTCTTTCTGAAAATGATTTAAACTGAGACCACTGTACTCACCCCAGCTCCGTCATGCCGTCTACAAACTCCTTTTTGCTAAATTCACATTGAGTCGCTGCCCTGAATTTCCATGCTATAACCAAAACGCTGATACTGGCAGGATCGAGGCTTAAATCATCACAAAACTGTTGAATCCCATCAATTCCAATTTTATTTTCATCTTGTGGGTCTGCAGTTAAAAAAAGTAAGTTATACTATTTTGAAAAGTATTATTAAAATGGGTTGTTAGACTCATACGCCTACTACACAGTTCTAGCAAGAGTGTTTCAAATACATCAATTGACAGACTGCAATTTTCTACTACATGTGAAAGGCAGCAACAAATAGTAATTTATCCAGAACATACTCCTCTTTTTAAAGTCTAGGTTTCTGGACGTTAGTAGAAAAAAAATTATTGTAACTTCTTTGAGAAGTTTCATCTCAAAGATCTTTTTTTCATCATTAAGGAAAAATTTAATGTCCCTAAAGTAAAATAAAATTCAAGTTTACAAAATTTTAGTTTGCCCAAAGGCAAATTGTTACAAAAATGCTGCATTGGTGAAGCATTTATAATATTTTAAGTTTTTATCACAACCCCACTGAAAGATTGATGTTTTTCATTTAAAAGTGATTTCATTTGCTTAGTTCTAATGCTACTGTATAATACTTATTTTCTAATCACTCTTACGCATCCATGTTTAACAGCTTAGAAATTCAGGCTTCTCCCACCCTTCATTTCTGGTTTATAAATAAAATGAAGAAACCTAGAATTTCCTCATCAGAAAATCAAATAGTAAAATCTATTAAGAGAAGAATCCCAGCAAGACTTCACCAAACTAGATCTAGTAATTTCAGACAGATTGTGTGAATCATATTATCACAGTACAGGTGTTAATTCTGTCAGTTTAGAAGGTGCAAACAGAAAACTTGTAGCTCCTTTGCTTAAATAAAGATTAAGTGTGATAAACTTTTCTTCTGTCATACACATTTTAATTTTGGTCACTTAAGTTTTATATATGACAATATATATTTATATTTATAAATCAAAATGTGTATCTAAATATTTATTATATAAATATAGATATAAAAATGCATAAGTTCAAGAGAGACCAACGAGCAAACGAATGAACCACAACTGCCTGTCCGACTATTCTCCTCCCACCGTCTCACAGGTACCAGTGGGAGGGGCAACCGCAGGCGCACGGGACGGACCTTCTATAAGATGCTGTCCTGGTCTTCCCATGCCCTTAACACGGCAGATTTTTAGAGTAATAAAAAAAATTGGTCTACAATGCTCTCATCTAACAAGCAATCTTGATAAATTTCATATGTAATAAAATGAAACACTTTAAAGTAATTTTGAAAGCATTCATTTGGATGTATTAATGTAATAACCAACATTATATTTGTGAATAGTCTTTGAACCATATATTTATTTTTGGAATATAAAACAATTGTACCATAGATCTACTTTAAGTGACTAGAATTGCATGGATAATATTAAATAACGAAGGGATGAAGTTTTTAAAAAATGACAATTTTCACTTATATGGAAGTATTTTTTGAAGACATCTGCACATATTTGAATAAATTTTAAAATCTGCATACCATCTGACTTACAAAATCAGCTCAACAATTGACTTAGCCAAAACATTTAAAGCACACTAAAGCTTAATTAAGAATAATGTTCACTTTTTTGAGAACTAAAAGTACATTTCTTTTTTTAACCATAGAATATGTTTCTGAACCAAAATTTTTTAAATAAAAAGAACACTATTTTCTTTTTTTTTAAAGATTTTATTTATTTTTAGAGAGAGGGCAAGAGAAAGAGAGAGGGAGAGAAACATCAATGTGTGGTTGCCTCTCATGTGTCCCCCACTGGGGACCTGGCCCACAACCCAGGCATGTGCCCTGACTGGGAATTGAACTAGCAACCCTTTGGTTTGCAGGCCATCACTCAATCCACTGAGCTACACCAGCCAGGGCAAGAACACTATTTTCAATCTATTCTTCAGATCTAAAAAGACAGATTAAAAAAGTAAAACATGAAAATAATAAACAAAAAATTAAATCTAAGGGAGTTATTGTGTTTGAATTAACACTTGTTTAAATCAGTATTTTTTTAAGTTTCGGAAATATCAAGATTAGCCTTAGAAATTTCTAGAAAAAAAAGATCTCAGTTAACTCTTAAATCTTGCTGCCTCTCCCATTATAGCACAGATTTGACATTTGATATGAAATGTGAAAGACTGCTGAGTGGTTTGAACCTGTACCTCCATCATGCAGACTTATTTTTGCAGCATGACTGTGTTTTGCTATGGAAAGCTCCATGCTAGGTGCTGATTTCAACAACTCTCTCAATCTCCAATACAACGTTCCCTTTAGTGAGAGCTTGTCCCAAAGCTCACGCAAGAACTGAAGTTGTTTCAGTGTAACAATGCCATGACGCTGCTGTAACAGAGGGATGGCTTTTACCGACATGTCAGAAATATTTTTTATGATCTGGTGCTGTTTTTAAACAACTTTCTCACTACCAATAATATCATAGCCTTGATGGAGCTGCTCGGGGAAACAAAACACTGTATTCGCAGGTGTAGCCAGCCACCTGCCCACGCTACTACAGTGATCCCAGTGAGGACGGCTGACTGCCCATCCATCTTTAGACTCCCCTCTTCTCATCCCACCCCCTCCATATTGATTAATAGTCACGGTTCCATTTAAACTGACGATTTTGTGGCTGACTATCAGAAAGAGTAGGAACAGCATCTGGGAGGTCTTTTGAACACAGCAGCAGAAATTCAAGAAATGTAACATTCATTCTGTCCCCTAGAGATGGAGGCGAGTTCTCTACCGTCTGCCCTTGTCATCACTGTCACCCTTACCTTTGTACCTGTTATACAGCTGCTCCAGCTTCTTCTTGTCCACTGTGTTTCTCATGGATTCCTTGTGGAATGAGTCCGGGTTTTGGAAGAAGTTGTCAGTGGCCACGTCTAGTTTCCACTCATTCTGTGATAAGCAGTAGATGGCAGTTCTTTCACCAGTCTGAGTAAATGCCATAAACTGGCGGACCTTGTCCTTCTGAGATGATTTAAGCTTATGCTTTGGGATGCAAAAGAAGCAGGAAAGCCAATGAAGCCAATCCAGAGGTTTGTTTCAGCGTTCTATTACTAATGCCTATATTTTAACTGGACTTAGTTTTTTTCTTGTTGGGTGACTCAACTTCACTTCAGAATTACAGGAAAAGGCTTGTTCTTCATCAGTTAAAAAGACTGCACAGTCTTCTGAAAATTGAAACGACAGCATCTATATAGCAACAAATATGCAAAGGCTAATCTTCAAAAAATTATGAGAATCAATATTTTACACAAAACACATTTTCATCTCTACCCAGTTCCATTTGCATGAAGAAGTACATTTTTTCTCAGTCTCTGTAAAATCCCTCTTTATACACACATGTAGCCCCCTGATGAAATAAGGCCAGGGATGTGACCCAAGGCCTGACCATATCACCGCCGCCCATCTGTAGGGTTCTTTTTGGCTTCCATTAATTTCAGGCTTTAATGAACAGGAGGAAGGCTTCCAAGTTTGGAAACATCTTTTAAAGTTTTTCCCAGTTTAAAATCAGCAGAACCACACTGATGAAAACATACACATACAATTAAGCACAGTGTTAAAAAGAATTTACAAAAGTTCCAAAAGCAGCACAAAAAGACTGTTACGACTAAATGAATATGATACTAATAGCAAGAATGTCTGTGTACATGAGACAGAAATAAAAGAGAAAAATAGGGCAGAGGCTGTGGGTAGGTAGTAAATAACAAAACTGCCAAGTAACTGTACTATATATAGTATATAAGGAAACAAAATACATCTTAACCTCCAGATATAGGATGGCAAAGTTTCTATTTATCTAAGGTAACTTGATGAAAATGACAGTAGAAATAAAAGTGATTCACTAATTTCTGTAAATCAAATTGACTCAGTCTGTTAGAAGCTAAGGCTTCATAATGGAAGGGGGAAATTTTACTTGTAAGAATTTACACTCACTCCTGTTAAAAATAAAGAGATGACATAACATATAGAAACCCTAAATAAAATATAATTTACAAAATATGTAAACAGAGGACAAGATACAGATGAAAAAACTGAGTGGAGGCAAAAAGGAAAAATTAGCCAGGGAGGGATACAATGCAGACACACACACCATACAGGAGAGCTGAAAGTTAGCTGAAAATTAGGCTCTGAGCTTCCCAGTTGCCAAAGCAGGAAGGAAAATAGGACTAGTTTGGAAAACCTGCTTTTATAAGATTTTAAAAACCTACCAGAGGCCCAGAAGTGGCACAGCTCCTCCTGGCACTGAAACCGGAAGGAGTTGCCTGCTCCGGCTGCTCGTGAAAAGGCAATGTCAACGTCCCCTTCGTACCAGACCGACTGCTCACCCAAATGCCAATGATAAGCGGCAGAGCAAGGCTCCCGGAGCTTTTTCTTAAGGCGTCCCTGCATGCATGCTGACACCAAAATAGCACAGTGCAATTCAGCAGGAGCACACGGAATGCAGTTCCAATAGCTGCTCTCCAAGTGGGTCTGGGACCCCAGGTCCTGAGACCTTTCGGGGGCTCCGTGATGATAAAACTGTCTTCCTGATGATTCCAAGCCCCCCTCTGCCTTGCTCCTTCTCACGGGTGGAGAGCAGAGGCTGCAGAGGCCACACAACTCGTAATATCACAACAGACTGAACACATAGCACCCGAGAACCTATCTTGTTTTATTAAGCTACATATTAAAGGTATCTGCAAAGATGTAATGTAAGTATGTAGTGGGTTTATTCTTGTTTTTAAGTACATAAATATTTTTAAACTTTCCATTTCAATGTCTAATACAGTACACACCAATGGCTACTATCCACATAAACAAGAGTTCTTTGGGGTCCCAATAATTTCTAAAGTGTATAGGGGAACTGGGACTAAAAAGTGTGAGAACTGCTGATCTACAGTAACACAGAAAATTAACATTTTGGCTACTTAGAACAAAATTGGTCATTTGGGGGCTTGGGTCCCTTTTGTAATCTGATAAAAGTCACAGATTCTCTCTCCAGGAAAACATGTGGTACACAGATGTACATGAAATTCTGCATAAAATTTCAATCCTTTCTCAGAATGTTTAAGCCCATCTATTGGTACCCCAGAGGACAGAGAAAGGTGGAACTACAATGAACAACTGATGAGCCAGCTCAGAAGCCATTGGTCTCTGTGGCAGCTACTACATGCTGCGTTTGCAGTGAAAGTGGCCACAGACAACATGCAAGTCGGTGGGCATGCTGTGCATCAATAAAACTTTATTTACAAATACAGGCGCTAGCCCGTGGTCTGTATGTTACAATCCTGAGCTATATTCTAGGGGAATACATGGAATACTCATATATATTCTATGCATTATTTCCTGAAATTGAGCCTTTGAAAAGGACTAGACAAAGAGTTTCAAGGAATATTCTCTGGTAAGATCAAATTCAGCTAAATTAGGGCAGATCCCATAAGTTTTGACAGGAAGCCGACAAAAATAAAGCTAGTGTATTTTTACGAAGCTGACAGCCTCCCCAAGGGAGGGTGGGCAAAGCCAAGGGTTACCTCAGAAAGCTTAAGATAGAAACAGATGTTCAACCTCAAAATGGCACATCATTAAAAATAACCATGATATATTTATTCTGGAAATTGCCACCAATGCTGGATTTTTAAATTTTGTCAAGGTTGTAAAACACTATTTGGTGTAGATATATAATGAAATCCAGTCATAAAAAGGAAGACAGCACCGATGCTATGATGTGGATGAACCTGGCGAACATGATGAGTGAAAGTCACTCACAAAAGGCCTGACGTCGTGTGATTCCACAAGGCAAGCCCACAGAGACGGGAGCAGGTGGTGGCTGTCAGGAGATGGGGGGAGGGGGTTTTCTTGGGGGTAATGAAAACGTTTGGGTCGAGGCGGTGGTAGCACAATGTTGTGAATGCACCAAGTGCAACAGAACTGCACAGTTTTTAGTAGTTAATTGTACGCTACATAGATTCCACCTCAGATGAAATCCTACGTAGCACCCTCGGAACCTCCAAGATTAATGAACAGAATAACGCACTGTCAGGTGACCTACTTAATTACTTAACCAACTGACAGATCTTTATACAACTGACAGATCTACAACAAGTAAATATTGACAAACAGCTGGAAGATATGAGGATGCCTAATCTGGAGCCACTTCTCTTGATAATAACCTCTTAAAGCTTTTCCTAACATGTGACAAAAAGTTGTATCAACAGTGTGACGGGGAATGCTTTGTGAAAACTCCAGAAGAGGAGGTGCAGGAGTAGATCTACGCAGGCTACGCAAAGTAGTCTGAATTGTTACTGCCTTAGGTTACAAAGGGGGGAGATCTGTGGATAAAGAAATAAATAGATCCCTCTTTTATGTATTCCAGGTGCCTAATATGTCATAAGACAGATCCTACAACCTTGAACCTGTAATCGGTATAAAGGTGCTGGTTCTGAACAAGCAAGAGTAGCTACAGGCCTACACTCAGCATGTAACACGTCTCTGGCTAGAATGAAAAGGAAGGGAACTATCGTTAAAGCTGTACCAGTCTGATGTTTCCCATTACAAGTTTCTCCATAAAATAACAGTGATTAAAACAATCATCATTAAGGCAAGTCCAGAGACGGAGTTATATTTGTAAACTACAAGTTGTGATCTGTAAGAAAGGGAACTGGCATAAAGCTCTCTAGAAGGAAAAACCTCATAAATGAAAAAAATTATAGAGGAAAGAAGAAAGCTCTGGTCTATTTAGACAAGATGAAATCCATGTAAAATTAATAAAGGTCCATAAATTGGCAGGACCAGGGCCTAGCCTTCAGCTCTGATGGCCTTCCCTGAGACTTACCATGCCAAGACAATTAAATTATTAATGGTAGCTTTTAAGGGGTGAGGGGGAAGGGCATATTCTGTGTTTCATTGTTTTACTCTGTTAAAGTGTACAAAGTCACTGAAACAAAAATCTGGATAATCCAGGAGAAAAATACAACAAAATCTGTAACCTATGGAAAAAGTCTCAAATATTTTAACAGTGACCTTATTAAAGTTGCTTACATAATCTGGGCACCAAGACCGTGCATAAAATGAAAAAACAGTGATTCTTACAATGCCACTCCAATTAATACAACAATCTTCTCTTAGGGTCAACTTACCAGGGGCTGCTAGGGCATCCATAATTACCAAATTAATTATATAAACTTGGTCACTGTGACTCTATTTCAGGTGGGGGTGGGGTGGTAGTGGTGTTAAATTCAAGTGTTTCCTTTCACGCTCTTGGATCTCCAACCTCTGCAGTGGTTGCAGTCCTCTTCCTCAAGTTAAGCTCCTGCCCGCCAAGCCCCTTCTCCTGGAGAGCTGGAGAGGGGGGTCTCTGCCTGCTGAGGTGGGCACATCCTGCCTGGGCGGTGCAGCTGCCCCACTAAGGCATCGAGTGCCTTGTGGCTGCACTGCTGGTTTCTATGACCACTCTCTCTAACCTTGTTTCTCTGACATGCTCTTCCTCATCTCCTTCTTGGCAAATCTTCCCACCCTGAAGTTTTGTCCTCGGGCCTCTACTCTTTCCCCTACACATTCCTCCTGGCCCCTCTCACTGGCCTCCCAGTACCATTAGGACAAAGACTAATATTTTCTTCCTGGACCCTAGAAGACTGCACAATCTGGTTCCAGTCCCCTTACAAACTTCCTACTGTGTCACTTTCCCCCAGCTCTCTGTTTGCAGACAGGCAGTTTTCCGATGACTGGAGCATGCCATCTCCTACTACCTACTCTGTTCTTTCCACCTGGAGTACTGCGCACACCTGGCTGCCCCTCCCACCTCACTCATTCTTGAGAGTTCAGTTCACATGTATTACTTTGGCTAAGCCTTCATTCCCTCAGCATCTGACACCATGCACCCCACCACCTGGGTTCCTGGAACCTGTGCCACTACCCAGCACTTATCACAACTGTAATAAAATAGTTGTGTGTTTAGTGCTTGTCTCTCCTGCTAGGACATAAACTCCATGAATACTTCCAGCATCTTGCACACTACCTTCCTCGCACAGAGAAACATCTGAATTTACTGAATGAATGATGAAACCCATCAACAACATGGTTTCCACTACATTTCAAAGTACTTGCACATTCCCCAAAAAGTCTTTTCTGAGGTCCAGATCTATATCTCCTACCAACTATATGATCCCTCTATTTCCCCCTCATTACTATATCGTCTTCCAACACAAATCTGCTCTTCCCTCTATACTCCCCATTTTGGTTAATAACATCACCATCTGCTCAGATGTCCATGCCAGAAACTGCTGAGTCCTTTCTTTCCTTTAGTCTCCCTTTCTGAATAGTTCTGTAACTCTCACCCCTCCCTCCCATCCTCCCTTTTCCTGCAGACAATCTTTGGCTCAAGTCCTTCTTCTTCCTCAAATTATTGCAACAGTTTCCTAGCTGGTCTCCCTGCAATCCTGACCCCTTCTGATCAAATTCCTATTCTCTTTGCAAAAGGCTTTTTTTACAAAATACAAACATGATCAACTCACACACAACCACACTTCTTAAAAACCATCTTTGGTTCCCGTTACATTCTAGATAAACTCAACCAACACTCAGCATCCAATACAAGGCCCTGCTTGTGTAGTCCTGCCATAGTGGACTCTGAACTCCACGTTCCAGACACACTGAATTACTGGCAATTCTCAAAGACACTATCTTGTCAATTTCACCTCTGACAGGATGCTGCGTAGGCTCCAAACGTCCCTCCCTTCTAGTTCACCCTGCTGCTCTTGTTTTGGTGGAGAACTGGTCAGTCTCCACGCTTGCTTGCCCTATGCCTCCATCCCGTCAAACCTTAGCGCTGCACTTGGGTCACCGCGCAGGTCTCACCCAGGGCCATCTAGGTTCCCACCTGCGTGCCTCTCCACCTACAGCAGTGCCCACAGCGAATAACGGCGGGCCGCGACCCCAGCGCTCCGGTGACCTTCGCGCCCCGCGCTACCCGGCTCCGGCCCTGGCCCGAGGGGTAGGGTGGAAGGCGAAACCACCGGCCACCTACCATTCTCCCCGTTGCTCCGTGCTTCTCACTGGCCCAGCCGTCTGCGCAGGAGTCCCGGCCACCTCCCGTTCTGCTCCAGCCACTGGGTCCTAGTCCTTGCTCCTGGGACACTCGCCCTGGGAGGGGCCCAGGGGAGGGGCGCTAGGGAGACGCTCAGGGGAGGCGGGGACAGGTCCTGTCTACAGAACTGCAACTCCCGGCGTGCCCCGATTCCCCCCGGGAGCGTCCTGACCCAGGCCCCGCCCCTCTTCACGGCCAACGCACCAGCGCCCCTCCCCGCCCCCGCCCCCGACTGCGATTTTCACAGTGCTACCCAGGCCCTTGGCACCAGAGTTCCAGCTTTCTCCTACAAATCCCAACGAGCACCGCGCCACCCAGGAACGACGTAACCCTTGCCCACCCTCTTAAGGGGGCCGCTACTTGGCTGCGTCTGCCTAGACGGCATTTGGGAGAGGGGGTCGGGTGGCTCCGGTTGTCACCGTACCTCGCCCACTCCCTGTTTCTGCCCCAAGGGCGATCCCGTCGCCTGCGAAGGGATGCGGGACAGCCGCTTACCTGTCCGCCCTTGGCCTTCCGGTGCTGGAGAGCCGGACCCAGGACGCACGGTGTCCGGAATATTCCGGTGAGCGCTGTGCGGGGTTCGGGATAGAGGCGCGGAGCCTCTGGTCCTGCCCGTTCGGACCCTTGGGGCTCCCTCCCTGGAGTCTTCCCTTCCCGGGGCTTCCTTCTGGGCGGGGTGTACTCTTCCAGGAGGTCTCTCTTTTTCTCCTCTCAAACACGGGCCTTTCGGCTCCTAGAGCTCTGCCCTTCATCTGTGCTTCTGCGCTTCTCGCCCTGCAGTATGTGAGGATGATGGTTCAGGCTTTCTCGCAACTTCTCGTACAGACAGATGGACCTGGCAGTGGACCCCAGGATTGTTTAGGAGAGTGTGATGGGGCAGGGTTGCGAAGTACAGTCTTTATTGATAAAGCTGGGGAAACCGCTGGAGTCGGCACTTAAACAGCTGGGTGGGTTTACAGACCTTCAGCCAGGATGCATTCTAAGTTAGGTATCAAGGTCTTGTTACTATAACCAAATAAACAGGGTCCCACAGAAGACCTGTCGCCTTCTGCGGACTGCCTGTTTTTGGCCATCTCCCAGAAAAGACAGGGAGACCCATCTCATCTTCACGCACCATACACCGGGAGGTGCCAGTGTGGATCCCTTACTCCTTCCCCAAAAGGACTCTTCGTTGCAGTTCCTTTCTTATTCCCCTTCGTCTGCTTTCCTGCTTTAAAGAAAGAACAAATGCAGGTCACTGACCTCCAACCTTTTTCGTAGGCCCTGTGTCTTAGTTCTTTTGGAGTCTTACCAAATACCACCTGAATAAATGTAATGGCTGTTTTTTTAAATTGTATTATTATTTTATTACTATTTTTTAAATTTTTTATTTACTTATTTTTCAAATACAGTTTTCTGTTTATTTCTCCCATCCCAGCCCCCCCCCCGCCCTGTACTCCCCACCTCCCTCCCATTTCCACCCCACTTAGTTCTTGTCCTTGTGGCCTTCATACTTGTTCCTCCAAATCCCTCCCCCTTTTCCCCCTTAATTTCCATTCCCTCTCCCCTCTGGTCACTGTCCCCTTGTTCTCTATTTCAGTGTCTTTGTTTTTATTCTGCTTACTTGTTTGTTTTGTTGTTTAGCTTCCTGTTAAAGGTGAGATCATATGGTATTTGTCTTTCAACACCTGGCCTATTTCACTCAGCATAATGCTTTCCAGTTTCATCCATGTTGTTGCAAAGGGTAGGAGCTCCTTCTTTCTCTCTGCTGCATAGAATTCCATTGTGTATATGTACCACAATTTTTTGATCCATTCATTTACTGACGGGCACCTAGGTTGCTTCCAGCTCTTGGCTATTGTAAATTGTGCTGCTATGAACATTGTGGTGCATAGGTTCTTTGAAATTGATGTTTTAGGATTCTTGGGGTATAATCCTAGCAGTGGAATTGCTGGGTCAAAAGGCAGGTCGATTTTTATTTTTCTGAGAAAATTCCATACTATTTTCCATAATGGTTGTACCAGTCTGCAATCCCACCAACAGTGCACTAGGGTCCCCTTTTCCCCACAACCTCTCCAACATTTGTTGTTTGTTGCTTTGTTTATGATAGCCATCCTGACCGGCGTAAAGTGGTATCTCGTTGTGGTTTTAATTTGCATCTCTCTGATGGCTAGTGATATTGAACATCTTTTCATGTGTCTCTGGATCCTCTGTATGTCCTCCTTGGTGAAGTGTCTGTTCAAGTCCTTTGCCCATTTTTTAATTGGGTTGGGTGTCTTCTTAGAGTGGAGTCGTGTAAGTTCTTTGTATATTTTGGAGATTAAACCTTTGTCTGTGGTATCGTTGGCAAATATGTTTTCCCATACAGTTGGTTGTCTTGCTAATTTAATACTGTTTTCTTTAGCCATGCAGAAGCTTTTTATTTTGATGAGATCCCATTTGTTTATTCTTTCCTTTGTATTCCTTGCTCTAGGGGACATATCAGTAAAAATGTTGCTGCGTGAAATATCTGAGATTTTCCTGCCAATGTTCTCCTCTAGCACTTTAATGGTTTCACAGCTTATATTTAAGTCTTTTATCCACCTTGAATTTATTTTGGTGTATGGTGTAAGTCGGTGCTCAAGTTTCATTTTTTTGCATGTAGCTGTCCAGTTCTCCCAACACCATTTGTTGAAGAGGCTATCTTTACTCCATTTTATGTTACTGCCCCCTTTGTCAAATATTAATTGACTGTAGAGAGTTGGGTTGATTTCTGGGCTCTCTGTTCTGCTCCATTGATCTATGTGCCTGTTTTTATGCCAGTACCAGGCTGTTTTGATTACAGTGGCCTTGTAATACAATTTGATATCAGGTATTGTGATTCCTCCTACTTTGTTCTTCTTCCTCAAAATAGCAGCTGCTATTCGGGCTCGTTTATGGCTCCATATAAAGTTTTGGTAATGGCTGTTTTAAACACCCCTTTGGATCACCAGCTCTGACGTTCACATATTATTAGATCGTATAATGATCTAGGTATAAGGTAGCTCAGCATTTTCATATTTATACATTTTTCTGATGTATAAATATGGATCAGAGTATCTTAGTGGTTCCACATTTCTCTTGTAATGTTAACTTTTTAAAAAGTAGTGTCTCAGTGATTGGATTCCTCAATGAAATATTTGTTTTTTGTAGAATTCAATTAACAATGAAACATCTTAAACATCTTTAATGTCTATAAGAATTTTCTTTCCTCCTGTCTTCCTTTCTTGCATTCTCCAATTCTTTTGCTAATTAGATATGAATAAGCATAAATTGTATTTATAGGATAGTAAGTGCTTTAGTTTTTAATTAATATACTCTACATCATTAAATTTTGTGAAAACTTAAAATATGCTTGTTAAGATAAATCCTCCACAGATTAGACTGAGGTAGATTATTTCTGTTGGGGGATTTCCTCACTAGACCATTCCATTAGCTCCTCCTTTTGTTGCCTGTTAAATTATTGTTTTTTGTTGAATCTGGGTATCACAAAGAAATTCTAATTTTCAACCATTCAATAGAAATAATCCTTATATTTTCATTTCTCAGAGGAAGCTAAATAACTGGTACTGGACTTCCCTGTTCTTGCCACACCCACACAGCTTGCCCGGATTTCCTGCACACAGCGCAAGCTCCAGGTCAGCGCCCCCACACCTGGGGTCCAGGTTCAGCCGGGTGAATGGGGCAGGCATCTGGCTTGAGTTGTCTGGCAGGCGAAGGTGTTAGGTGCTCTGTGGGACCCTGTTTATTTGATTGGCTACAGCAACAAGACCTTGGCACCTAAGTTAGAAAGCACCTTGGCTGAAGGTTTGTAAACCCACCCAGCTGTGTGCCTGGTGACTTGGGCGGCTTCCCCAGCTTTACTGACAAAGTCAGCGCCCAGCCCAGGCGGCCTCAGCCAGGCACACGGTGGCTGCTGCGCTGGTGCAGCGAATAAACTGCTGTAGATTCTTCCTCAGCGGTTTGGTCTGGTAACCATGAGGCCGTGGGTCTGGACGGTCCTGAGGAAGAGGTGAAGGGGGGGTCCTGTGGCTGCATGGGAGCAGGAGGCTGGGCGGCAGAGCTGCAAGGTTTTCAGGTTTGAGTCCATTATAAATAATTGAAAAAAAGAGTAGCTGCTTCAGTTCTCCACCGAACTTCCCTTTTACTGAAGTGACTCCTTAACCCTCGTGCCCTGGGCTCTGTGCGGCCTGGCAGCAGACGCCTGAGGAGGTAGTCACGGCCCCTGCAGTCAGGGTGGGGCTCCCAGTTAGTTAGAGGCGTGCGGGAGAAGTCTTCAACGCCAGTGACTTGGCCTGAAAAAGCCGGCTCTCAGAGTACAGCATTGTGCCCTCCCTGCTTTTGAGCTTCTCATCCACTAAATGATAATGTGACATTTCTGAATGGCTAAAAATTCTCTGTAGAATAATAAGAGTGATGTGATTATTTGTAAAATGACAGTGAATTAAAAGTAGTAGAAGATTTTTTTGAATAGGCTTAATGGTGATCCCATTTGCCCTCTTATTTCTAAATCTATTGAGACATTTTATTATAAATATTTTTCTTCTTAATCAAATAATCTCATCAGTTTCAAAATAAGTTTTGAGATTCCTACTCTGAATTTATAAAAACCCATTTGAAATTTGGTAAGTCGAAGAGATATATTTTAATTCATGTTGAAAAAGAAAATTTTTCAAGTAGAAACTCTGGGGGAGCGGTTGTGCTTAAAGCATTGATTTTGCTGTTGCTTGAAGTGAAAAGTAACTTTGGGTTTCACTGTAGCTGAACCAGCCTGAGAACCTTTGGCTCTGTTGTAGGACAGTTTCTAGTTTTTTGGATAAAAATAAGTCACCGCTCTGCAATGTAGATTGTGATCATTGCACGTAATAAAGATGAGAATAGAGCTGTGCTAGGTTAGTGGGAAACAGTAAACCTTTCCATAGAGTATTTAAAAGTTTATTTTGAGATGATTATAGATTCACATTCAGTTGTAAGAAATAAGGCAGAGAAATCCTGTACCAGTGGTGTCCAGCCTTTTAGCGTCTCCGGACCGCACTACAAGAAGAGTTGTCTTGGGCCACACATTAAATACACTGCAACACGTAATCACAAAAGCACTCTCATGATGTTTTAAGTAAATTTACGATTTTTTTGTT